TGATGGGACTAAAAGTTTATATCACAACAGTGGCAAAAGACATTAACTGCCTCAGAGGACACAGTTAATCTTCTGCCATTCCACACTTCAAAAGCTACACTATGAAAAGCTGAATGAATGGACATGTATAAAATTTATACGGTAAGCTCGAAATGAGCATTTTTACTCTTCCGTGCTGACCACAGTCATGGCTGAAATTATTATATTTTCAGGTTCCCTCCATTCCAATCTTGTGAACATGATATCTCAGTAACGGTTGAAAAAAATGGGAATTTTATCAAATTTCTCAAAAAAACAAAAAACAAAAAAAAGAGTCCTCTTAAAGCCAAGATAGAAATGATGGGAATTTGGTCATAGAGGCATACAACTGCAAAGTGGTAATACTAGTTTTAAGTTCTCAGACATCTATAGTAAAAGTCTGCCTTATTGATTGATTGATTGATTGATAATACTTTATTCATCCCGAGGGAAATTGGGTTAAGGCTGCCAGCCGTGCCAGCGCCATCTTACCCTTCAGTGTATATGTGATATGATCAGTGTAAAAATATTCTATTTTAAATATGCGGAAAATCAATTCAGTGTACAAAATGTCAAATTATAGCAAGAAATTACATAAAATGAAAGTGGGCCACCAGCACTACCCATGCCACGAAGCTCCCTGTGTGCACTTTTCTGCTGATGTTAATGTCAGTACCTGGAGGGAAAGAAATTCCACAAACTGACTTGCTGGAACATGGATCCTATTACAGTAAGACCAATTCTTTTACAAATGTTTGTAAAAGGCAGACTTGCATGGCTAGGTGCACGATTTTAAATGCTTACGGCAATGAGACTTTTTGTCCATATAGCGTATGTTTTCTCAATGGAACTTACTCTGTATGATAGTTTGAAGTCTGCAGACAAGCACCTCATCAACATTTACTAACCACTACTTTTTACTTTCCTTTAAAATGCCTGAATAAGTGTGGGTAAGCTGATAAGCTATAGGTTGATCACTGATTATCTGCAAACTGCCTGCAGAAATCTCAAAACACAACGCTTCTGCATGACCTTCAGATGCTGACTTTGCTGCCATCAGTATCTCCCTCCTGCTTGTACCATGGGGCACTGACCCATGTGCTCCTAAGTTCCACTGTTGACAGTCTGGTGTCAGCTGACCTTTGTATCTTAAAGGGTCAGCTGAGGAAAACAACAGAAGTACAGCTTCTTTCTTAACCCTGTCTGGTATCTACTCATGTATTTTCTTGGTGTTTCAAGATATCTGCCCCCCAATTATATGAGGTTGCACATGTACTGTGTCTTATCTGACATCAGAACAATACCAATTATTGATAAACTAGCATGCGATCATATTAATTTGGGCCAAGGCTATTTCGGCTCAATCCGTTCCTTGCCATGGAGTGCAATAACCAGAAATATGTTTGCAGAATAATTGGATGGTTATTCAAATGTTTCTCTCTACAACATAACATTGATAACAATTGGATTCTTTAAAGAAACAGAAAAAATAACCCCTGGATGCAAAGAAAAAAGAAAAAAAAAAAGAGTCTCTTTTGGGCCAGCAAAGCTGCAGTGGCTGACAGCCTAAAACTCTGTCTTTATTGAATGATCATATATTTTTCATCATAGAAATGCTTTGAACCAAAGTGTGGAGTATCATTTCAATGGACTTCTAAAGAGTCATAGTGTCACCAGAGGCTGGCAATGTGGTAGCTTGGACTTCCCCGAGCAAGTTGCAATGAAAATTGTGCACAAATTTACACAGAAAATACAAACACACAAACTGAAAGAAAAGGGTAATATAAGACTCACTGTTGCCAGTGTTAAGAAGCAGCATTTAGCTGCATTCACATTTCCATACAGCAGTTATTCAAGTAGCACAAGTCCTCTACACTATGAGCTTCATTCACCCATTCAAACATATTCATACAAGCACTCTATGCCAAAATGCTTTCTATCTAACATTCACACACATTAACACTCCAATGAACACATCAGGAGCGACTTGGGGTTCAGTATCTTGCCCAAAGATACTTGGGTGTGCAGACTGGAACTGCAAGGGACCGAATCACAAAACTTCCAATCAGTAGATGGTCTGCTCTAGCTTCTGAGCTACAGCCACCCAGAAAAGAACAAGCATACATCCCCAATGTCATCAAAGATCAAGATCCCTGATCTAAGCCTGAAAAAGATATCCACGCTTAATCACATCCATTTTTACTAACCAAGAGTAAATATAGTCTCTACTGCAAAGAGTATTTATTTCTTTACAAAACAGTTTGAACTACTTTTTCCAAGTAGCTTTACATCTCCCTAGAGTAGCTTTGCTGAAGTTCAGTGTCTTCAAGTGAAGCAATTGGAAGGTTCCAAAGCTATGATTTCAAAGTAGCTTCCCCAACGCTGACTGTTGCTATATGAAAACTCATACATGCAAAAGGAAAACATGTGAGGACGGGGGAAAAAAACCCATAATTTTTTGTTTCATATTCAGGTCCTTCCTTCCGACCCCACAGGGAAATCATTACTTCTATCCTTCTAAATATGCATGTTGTTAATTATGCATCTTGTTATCACTGGCTAATCTGCATACTCTCATGTTTAAAGTCCCTCTCATTACCATTCAGAAGGCCATCTCACAGGTGTGCTGAGTAAATATACAACACACAGTAGCTGATTAAAAAAAAACACGCGCACACACATGCACACACGTGCAAACAAACAACAAGTTTACACACGGTCCGCATTCACGCTCGCATATTCAAACACAGGGACATTTTAAAACAAGTGGAGACACATGCGCCTGCTCACTCGAGTGTATAGACTCCCAGAAACATACACATGGACACGGAAACAACGAGAGTGGACATCAACCGAGTTGCAGACATATTACGCAACCCCGCTGACAGAAGGTTCAGGTTTCCCTCCTACGGGTGGCTGTTTGTTTTGTGCCAACTCATTAAGTACACAGCTGGCCAAAAGAGTTGGAGTGGGGTAAGACCACATGGGTCCTCAGATGAGTGTCTGATTGGATTTCAACAAAATATTTAAGAATATAAAAGGCTCTCTGTCACATATTAGAACATACGTGTAACACTTAAAAGTAGGTAAAACCGCAGCTTGATTTGACTGAAGCAAATTAAGCATCTGTACTTCATAGTAGGGCTGCTCGATTATGGCAAAAATGATAATCACGATTATTTGACGATATTTATTTAACCCTTTAAGACCTACGATAGAACCAAGTCCGCCAGAGCTTATATTATGTTTTTACATGTTGTAGTGCCATTTGTGGGAGCATTTCAAGTTGCTATACAACTGCTATAGCCCATATTTTAATAATATGTATGCATTAAGTGCATAGTAACTACATTAATTGCAAAAAATAGTTTCTCACCACAGGAAATTTATTTTGAGTGTCTTCATAGTTTTATTTTGGAGATACAGCAATTTTTATATACTGCAGGAAAAACAAAAATCAATCCTATGATGCAAATTTGGAAAGAAAACAGCATGTGCATCAAAATAAACAATTTCCAGCTGTGCAATTCGAGTTCTAAGCATCCCAGAAACGATTCAGAAAAGTCAAACATGACTTATAAAAACACCAGTATAGGTTTTTAAGGCCTATGTTACGACCCAGTGATGTGTGTGTTGTGTTATGCCTCCCACGGGGGGGATGGCTGTGGGTATCTTTCCCCTTTTTCTCTCCTAGGAGGTGGAAACCTGGGCGTGGCTGCTGGGTATCCGGGTGGAGTCTCTGCCTGTCCTGTGTGGATCCTGTGTGGATAATTGATGGACCACCTCCGGTACTTAATGACTTAACGACAGCCACCTGGAAGTAAAAAACTACATTTTCCGCGAAAATGACGTCACTTCCGGTTTCGGGCAGGAAATGACGTACATGCGATAGTTCGCGCTGACGTCTGTTTCAATGTGGGAAGTGTTACAAGCAGCTGATCGGGTCGGAATATTATGTTTTTGTTGCTGCAAGCGCTTTTTATGCAATTTTTGCAAAGCTATATGTGGAAGGAAACCGTGACCGAGGACGAGCTGATGGCATGAGATGTAAGTACAACTCCTCTGGTTTCATATGCAAAAAATTTTTTATTCCGGTTCTACAGGGATTTAAAAATTGTTAGCAAAACAGAGCGTGCTGCTCTGACCGGCTTTAAAGGGTTAACAATAACAATGTATTGAATAATGACTTTAAAAAATTATATAAAATAGTGTGCAAATACTGATAACAGTGCAAATGTTTGCAATATAAGAAATAAATGAAAAATGTAAACATCTATGTTTAGTGAACTTTGCAGTGTTGCTCTGTGGTGCAGCTACGACACTGTAGCAAAGTTTACACACTATGTCTACTTGATCCACGTCTGACTCCGCGAACCCATAATGTTTCCACACCACTGAAGTTTTTTTTACCTCTCTTTTCAACCAACAGCAGTCACTCTCCTCTCCAAATAACTTCTGCTTAGCTTTCCGAGCTTCCCTCGGGTCCTCTTAATTGTTGTGACGCGTGTTCGAAAAGCAGAGAGGTGCGCTCGATTTGCCACACGGAGCAGCGCGAGGGTAAAGCACGAGGGAGGGGCTAATAATTGGCTCAGTCATTTTTAATGATCGTTGAAAGCCCAGATCGTAATCGTGATTAAAATTCGATTAATTGAGCAGCCCTACTTCATAGTGTGTATGAATACAAGTGCCTTATATGGAAGTCATGGGGATGGTTTTGTAGCGAATTGGCTCTACATAAACACAATTGCACTTAACATTTCAAACTTCAAATTAAATTTAAATTCTCTGCAAGCAATAAATAAATTAAGTTTGTATTCTCATTTAGTAATAAAACACATTATACAAACATACTGTAGATTGTACGGAGCCCTAAAAGTTTGGCAGCAATAAAAGTGGAAGACTGATTGCTATTCAAATGCCAGCAATTATAATAATAATCATCAAAATAATACAAAAAAAAAAATAGACAACAAGGGACTCACTCAGGTTCCATTTGAGCCCAGTGGTGAGTGTCTGGCAGGGTCCACCTACTGGAATCAGGCTGCACCAGTCCCCCTCCAGACCTGTATTCACCTCCAGTCTGTGGCTGCCCTGATGGCACACAGCATTAGTGTGAACATGAATTAGTGTCTATGTGACTCTGTGTGTGTGTGTGTGTGTGTGCATGTGCAAAATCACTGAGACAAACAAACATGAAAGCGGAAATTAAATTTGGAGAAAGACTTCTTAAAGATTTTGAGCCCCAACAGAGAAACTTCTTCACCAAGACTCATTAAAATAAATTATTGCTCTTGTCAAAGCTGTAACCAATTGTTGGTTCTTACTCTAGAGGAAAAAAAAAAAAAGAGAGACCTAGCCATTTTGAATTATAATCTTCTTTACTTTGCATTGCAGGGGGCACGGAATTTTTGTTAATCACACCTATAACTGTACTCACAAGCAACTTTAAAGTCAAAAATAATTACAGAGTTACAGATACCTCACTTGAAGCAAGAAAAAAAGGTTCTTTCTGCTGTAATGTGTCTTAATGCCTTTGAAAGCAGAGAATCTAATGTAAATTTTCTATTTCCTAATTGTGTCTAAAAGATGGATAAAGAATTTTTTCTGAGCCACGGTGACATTTCATGTAGCGCTTTACAAAGCCAACGAACATAAACAAAATTCTGAAATGTCACAGTATCCCTTTGAAAAACTTGGGCTGGGTGACAAAAAAAGCAAGGGAGTCGCACAGTGTAGGTGCAAGCTAGTTTCCAACTTTTCAGGCTAAATAATGACTTTGGTCTCAGTGCACTGGTTATATTAAAGCCTGGTGCTGGGACACAAAAGGTCAAGACAAAGTTTCTCACATCCACGGTGTACACCAAATATAAAAAGAAATACCCTAGTTTCATTCTAGCACACAGATACATATTTGATAAACAATTCTGTGGCTGCAGGAAAGTATAACAAGCCTCAGAGTGAGCAATTACGTGCCATCAACGCGATACGTTTCGGGGCTACCGTTGCCGTGTACGTTGAATTCACCATCCACTCGTAACACTTGAGTTGGTATGTTTAATGCCAACAAAAAAAGTGTTGACAGCTACAGCTTGCACCAGTCGTCTAAAAGATAGAAGTATCACGCAGGCAAAGACAGCATGATATTCAATTAAGAGTTTGAAATCCTTCTTTTGACGTGTTTAAAGTTTTCTTTGCTTGGCTTCCTGGAGTTGCAGAGCCAGAGGGAAGGAACGATGCGGAAATTCTGAGCTTTCGAGCTTTTGGTGTTTAGGAAACAACCCCGAGGATGTTTTCTATACTTAAACACAGTATCTTTGTGTAAACGTGTCAAAGTGACACAGTAAATAAATCAAAGCAAGGCAAACGCATGTGCACTTGCACATGAACACGCACACACATATAGAAGAGAGGCTTGACGTAGAATAAGAATGTAGCCCTTTCTGTTTGTGAAGATACAAACAGACAACATGGAGTCAAACTCTGTCAGGGGGCAAGCTTAATTTTTAGAGTTAAGTTACTTGTGACTTAACTACTATGTAAGGGCATTCTTATTCCAATGTATTAAATATATATAATTAACACTCAACAAAAGCATGTAAAAACCATGTAGGTACAACGCTTGTATTGTTTACTCAGGCTGAATTGTGTGGTATTGATTGAGCTTACTTTTTAGCAGCCTGGTGTAATTTTCACATAATTCAATAAAGATAAACACAGTGGTCGGCCGTGTATAATGGTACTGTAATTTTGCATGGTGCTTTTTTTAAATCAGATGGTGCATATTTTCTGATGCTGCTTGAATTTCATGAAAAGAAAGAGAAGCTTTCCACACAGTACAAAGAAACTGTGACGTTCTGTACAAACTACAAGATCGATTTTTTGACCAAAACACTTACTAATTTGTTTTCTAATTCCAACCAACATCTCTGCTTCAAATAAAATAATTTTTATTTTTTGGTATAACAACATGGCCTATTTTTTTTTTATTTTAGACTTTACTTGCTGGTACCAGGTTGGAACCCCTTACACCTTCAGAACAGCCTTAATTCTTCAAGGAATATATTCAACAACATGCTGGAAACACTAGTCAGAGATTTTGGTCTATATTGACATGACAGCATCACACAGCAGCTGCAAATTTGTGAGCTGCACATCCATATGAATCTGCAATTCCGCCACATCCAAAAGTGACTGCAGAAGCCTTTTGAGTGTCATCGTCATGTTCAAGAAACCAGTTTGAGATGATTTGACAATGTGGTCTGGTACCCTGCTGGAAGCAGCCATCAGATCATGGCTATCTGTGCAAACCTTCAGTAGAAGGTGGGATGGATCCATGCGTCCATGTTCTTTATGCCACATCACAGAAGAAAAAAAAAAACTTCATTGTAGTCAATGTGTTTCACATCATCTATTGTTCACTTTCCGTGAGTCTACGCCTCAGTTTTCTATTCCTACCTAATAGCAGTGGCACCCGGTATGTTCTTCTGCTGCTGTAGACCATCTGCTTCAATGTTCAACATGCTGCATGTTCAGAAATCATCTTCTGTATTCAGTACTTTGGTTGAAACAAGTGGTTATTTATGATAAGTGGCCATTCTGCTCTGACCTCTGGCATCAACAAGACATTCATCTAGAGAACTGCTGCTTAGTGGATATTTTTTTCTTCTCTTTTTTTGGACCGTTCTTTGTAGTGGTTGTGTGGGAAAATCCCAGTAGATCAACAGTCTCTGAAATACTTAAATCACCTTTCTTTCCGTTTCTAATGCTTGGCTTGAATTTCAGCAGGTTGTCCTGACCATGTCTGCATCCTTAAATGCATGGAGTTCCTGCCATGCCATTTGCTAATTAGATATATGCGTTAAACAAGGAGTTGAGCAGGTAGACTTAAGAAAGCGGCTGGTGAGTACATCTAATGACTGGGTAAAGTCATCAATTAAAATAATTTACTATTTTAACCCTTGTATGGTGTTCGGGTCTGTGAGACCCATTTTCAGTTTTTCTCAAAAGAAAAATTAAACAATTAATTATTTTTTCAACCTGAAATTCATTGGCTTTGGCTTATTTTCTGTGAAGAACATAAATCCGAACTAATTTTCAATGACCTCATACTGTACCTCCCCCCACGCATTTACATTACATACAAGGTGTTCGGGTCCACTGGACCCAGGTCTAATAAAAGTGTTGAAAGTGTAGGTCCTGTGTTCCCACACTCTGTCTTCCTCCTTTCTGGTGCTGCTGATAGTGTTTTCTTCCGCTCCCGCACAAAGTTGCAACATTGTTGAAAATTCAACTATCAACACCGTCTGCTCTTACATTCCCACACAATTTACCCTCTTTCTTGAGGGATCCAAATTTTATTTTCTCATACCATGTCCCACCTGCAAATTAGGGGCATAATACTATAAATAAGACTTTGCCAGTGTGGTTCTTTATCACAACTGATCAAGATGGCAAACGATTATCTGCTACGAGGGCCATCCAATTGTTTTTGGAAGAGAGAGGGGCTTCGGATGATGATGTTGACAAAGAGGTTTCAGAATATTTCACATTTCTGAAAATTCAGAGTCTGACAGGGACTTTGAAGAAGAGGATGAGGTTGAGCACCATTTAGTAACAAAACAAAGACAGGTACCCCATCTGCAGCCAGCTCCAGGACCAGAACAAGCCCACCAGACAGCAAGTGAAGAAATATGGATGTCAATAACTGGTGAAATTGAATGGTCTTCTTGCCCAAGAAATGAGCCACCCTGCAGAGCTGCTACTGTGATAAGCCAGGGCCAACAAGGCTGACAGTTACTCATGTGCAGGACATCAAGTCTTCATTTGAGCTTTTCATCCCAGATTCCATCCAGAAAATTATTCTGGATTGCAGATCTAGAAGGAAGGTGTGTTTTTGGAGAGAGGTGGAAGGAGACCAAATTCATCTAAGAACTCCAAAGGCCTACTTTGGGGTTCTTATCCTTGCAGGAGTTTTAGGGTCCAAAGGGGAATCCACAGAATCCCTGTGGGATGCAGAAACCGGCACAAACCTTTCCGTGCATCAGTGTCTCTGGAAAACTTCCACAAAATTTCCAGGATTATCCGTTTTGATAACCGAGACAACAGACCAGCTCGACGGCAGAGAGACAAGCTAGCTGCCATTAGGACAGTGTGGGATAAGTGTGTGCACCACCTCCCCCTGTTTTGCAGCCCTGGGCCTAATGTCACCATTGATGAGCAGCTGATCCCATTTACTTGTGAAACATATTGCTTCACGTGTAAATGTGTTGTGTATTTCCACTCACTCCACTTGATTATAACTGATTTTTTTTTTATAACATTTTATAAAAAAAACAAAAAAAAAACGAGAAGCACATTGATTCATAAATGTGATCTAACAAAGGTAAAGGGAAAAAATTAAACATGTTTGCTGTTCATATGGCTTGTAATTGGGATGAAGTAAACATCTGTTGAGTAATTTAACATAAAATTGTTTGATAGTGTTAATTTGGAAAGACAAAACTCTAGCGGGTCCACCAGACCCATGAACACTGGCTGAGTAACAAAAATATGAACACCACACAAGGGTTAAGTATTACTCAATTGTGTCTGCACATTAGCTCTGAGATTTAACAGCTGATTGAGAGATATTAGATGCCTGTTTTCTTTGCAGTCTCCCACCTCCCACTTGTTAGCTACTCTACAGATGTATAAGGTCAGGAAATTACAAAGCTGTTGAAGCAGAAGGAAAATGCTCATGAGGGAAAATTAGTAATAAGAATACTATTAGATTTATTTAAGGACCTTTCTTACCCTCCCTGCATTACTTCAATGAACATTTGAAGCCATTTTCTGTCTCATATTTATTAAACTAAATTATTAATATCAGTACAGAACTTGCTCTGGCACAGAAGGTAGACAAGGTACCTCAGGTATCACACTTTATCATTTAAATCAGCTACTGCACTGACAAGTTTCACTCCTTGAAAGGGCATCAGGTAAACAGGCCTGTAGTTCTGACCTCGAGTGTGTGTGCTAGAAGCTAGAATGATTTATAGCATGAATTTGGCTGACACAGTGTTGTGCATTGAATGTCCCACAACACAGAGAGCCAGATTTCTCAAGCATCTTCATAGGCTAGGATGCTAATTTGAGTAAATGTGGCTCTGGTTGGTCCTCCAACTGAGATTCAATAAAGCAGATACTAAGAGAAAAACAAATAAAGCAGACGCAGTCAATGCAACTTTCCTCTTTTTTTTTTTTTAAAGATGGAAACTGAGTAAATTTAGCTCTACATTGGGACCTAGACTGATTAAAACATCCTCTTAGTGTTTAGGGACACAGAATCACAAGCTTGTAAGCAGCCCTCACAGTGTCCCTATCCATAACTTAATAAAAGACACCATAATTATGCGACACCCTGAGCCAGCTATAGAAACCACATGACTTGTGCACATTTCCCAAAGACAGCATAATAAAACTTTGACACTTCATTTGGGAGACAAAAAGTAAAACAAACAGACACAACCCTGATTAAATCAGTTCATCCCTGAGTCACAGATATACACTGATTTAATCAAGACGAAGAGACATGCCTCATACATTTCATACAGTGTGCACGTTTAATGGGATACTGCAGTTATGAGCAGCTTGAATGGTATGTGCTGGCTCTGGTGACATAATCCCCAAATTTGTGAAACAGAAAAAAATGTAATTTAGTTCTGGTCATCATTTGTTTTTGGTGTGTAGCTTGCATACAAAACGTGAACTCCGTATGTGCTGATTGTGCCAAACGCTGAAACGAAGCACTTAACGAACCTGCGATTGCACGAAATATGTGTGGTGAGGATATTTGGCAAAAGTTGTAAACACTTCAATTACAGATGTAACTTGAACAAATAGCACTGGGCTTTTCGAAGGTTGCGTTCACCTTCATGTACAGGCGTCTGCGTTCATCAGTGGCTGGTGAATTGGAGCTGCGTTGACAAACGAGCTTAATTTACCTTCACTGAAGTAAGATTAATTGGAGGTGTCGAGGTATGAAGCAGCAAATGACAACACGCCTTTGGAATAATGACAAGAAGTAGGGAGAGTGTGTATGAGAGAGAGGTTTACTTAAGGTGTTACAAGGTGTCATCAGGAAGTGAGTGACTGTTAGTTGTTTGTCCCGAGGACCTCTCAAATAAACAACACTGGGGACTATGGAGAGAGTGGGGGAGGGGGCTAACACATGTCCCAAATGGCGGTCATTCAGCCTACTTGTAAACTCAATCATGTGAGAAGAGTGTGAGAAAGTGGTTAGCATTGAGGGAAAACAATTTAGGAGCATCAAAAGAGATTCGCTCACTCTCATTCACAACAGCAAATTGGGGCACCATAAGAGCAGAGAAGTGTGTGTGTGTGTGTGTGTGTGTGTTCTCTTGAAGTGATTACTTAACAAAGAAACAAAGTGTTCAACACTCCAATCAAGGTGGAAGTAGACCAAGGAAAAGAACATTTTTGAGAAAGAACAGAAAATGAAGGGCTGGGCGAGGGGTGATTAGAAGAACTGGGAGACATTGTGCTCCCCTGCTAGCATAGTGTGGGTAAAATACTAGAGGTCTCCTTGTGTGTGTAGTGTTTATAATGCAGCTTAAGAAAAGCTAGAGTCCATCCTTCAGCTTTATGAAAAATGAAAGGAAAATGTGCTTTGTAGCTCAAAAATGCAAAAAAAAAGAAAGGAAAAAAAAAATAGAAAAAGTGGAGGGGAAATTTTACATTAGCATGTGGATGTTAAGGGCAAGTAGCTGGACCGGTAACTTTATTTACCTACAATACCTAAACGCATTGTGGGTGTTTTGTGGGTTTGTATATACTCACAGGTCTGAGTAGATATGCCAAGCTTTTTCCCTGTATGATCAACAGTGGGAGTTGTGTCATTGACAGAGCGTGGTAGAGGGTTTCCACAGATGCCATGGCCTGGTCAAATCTGCCCGCCAGACCACCCAGTGTCACTATTGTATCCACCTGGAAGAGCGACGAGAGGTTAAGAAAACTGAAAAATGTTAGTGTTTGATAAAGCAGTCTGTGGCATTATGTTAGTGTTTTCTTTGCTTCAATTAACATGCCATCAGCAAAACGACAGATGTAGCTGTAGAAAACAAAATATGATTAAAAACAACTACAGTGCATGCATTTTGATCAAAATAAATCACACTTCCTGACTGATGCTATGTGATTTGGGGAAAAGATATGAATCATGAAAATATTATGAAATTTAGGGGTTTGTAAATGGAGGACTTGTACAAATTATCAGGTTAGTTAGAATGACTGTAATTTGTCTGCTAACCAACACATTTCAAAGAACTTCTTAGTAAAATGAGTAATACCCAGCTATTTTCAAGAATGAACTATGGGAACAAGAAAGAAAACTGGAAGGACTCGTCTTCCCTCTGGTTCTACACATATTCTACTTTCCCAACAAATGCCATTAAATTTTTCAAGCAGTATACGTTAAGTCAAAGAAAAAAAGGAGGGGATTTGGAGAGCAAAACACTTTAACAAGGCCAGTGCCCTATCTTGGCTTTATATAATTCTACTGATAGAGAGACACACAAACAATAAAGAGAACAACAAGGCTTTCATTTTGGCAGAGAAACAAACACCAGGGAACTCAGAAAAATAAATAAGATGGAGAACAGATTGAAAAAAACAACTGAGCTGCACTATCTGTGTAGAAATGTGAAGAATTAAACCAAAGGTGGACAAAATTATTATCAGGAACTTGTTAAAAGCAAATAAATTGCTATTTCCTGGAATTTCAAAGTAACTTCAAAAAAGGTTTTTCTTAACTTTGGGGCAGGACTTTGCTATAGAACAACCTATACGGCTATATCCTCATACAAAGTCTCCAAGCAGTCAAGCACCAGTGCTGCCAGCCTTAACATCAGACAGTCTAAGGGGCAAAGGCGCTGTCACATCCTGACTGACCGTCACACCAACATGAAAAATGTTCCAATGAACCATCAATCATACACTCTTTGATGTTTGCACTTCAGCCACATACAGCATAGAAATACTAGGTAATACGAGCTATTACTATTTTCATTTTTCACCACCAGTGGATAGCTTGGGCTGCAGAACAGTTGTGACATCCAAAACCGAATAATGTAAAGGTTATTTCTCTGTTTAACAATTTCTGACTTTAAGAATTTACAGTGAAGTGAAAAGAAAACTTTTCAACACCTTCGAACAAGCAAACACTTCGCACCTTTAGCCTTAACAAGGTACATTAAGCACATTTGTTTAACAAGAGAAAACTATATATATATATACACAGTTGCATAACTGTCCACCAGTGTCAGGCAAAGTCATGTTGAAATATTTGGCCACTTTTATGTTCAGCTTCAAGATGATTAATGGTCGCCTTAAATGTAGGGCTGGGTATCGTCACTGATTTCTAGAATCGATTTGATCCACGATTTGATTCAATCCGATTCTATTCGATTTGAATCTGGTAAATTTAGCCTCAGACAGTCAGAAATATTATAATTCTGATCACGTATCAGTGCATTTCCATATTTTTATTTCTATAAAAAGAAAGCTGAGACTTTCGAGACTTTATCAAAGGTGTAAGCATCACAGCAGATGCCTTTGTGTCAAAGTAACTGAGGATAAAACACAGAAAAACATGAAGGCGACTTTCTTGGCCTGGGATTTTATAAAAAATATTCTGCAGTAGATCAAAAACGAAAGAAAACCATTAATCAACATATGAACATTATGCTGCTGAAGTGAAGCAGAGCAAAGTTACAGCGGTTTTATTAGAGACACAGCTAAGCGTTTTGCAAGTTTGCATAATTTTAAAAAGTTTACATTTGTTCAGTAGCCTATTGAACAGCAGGAATGAGGCTTTCTTTTCGGAAGCAAGTAAAAGGAAAAAACACAGCGGTCGACAGCGCTGTAAACAACTTGTGTGTAATAAGCAAGCGAATAATGCAGAAAACAGATTTTTAGACGGGAAACTGTTCTTGAAGTACAGAGAGAGAGACAGCTACCTCTGCATGAAATGTGATTTTATCGTGGTGGAAGCAAAAGAGCAAAAGTAAGAGGGAATTCATGACGATGTTTATGTGAAGTGAATTTTGGATCTTCTTTTGCTGCTGGTTCATTCAATATTGTTTGGAGAGAGATAAAACCTGCAGCTTCAGAATAAGCACAAAAAGGGCATAAACACGAAGCGCTGACCCGCTGAAACATTAGAATCAGCGAGCTGTCGGCTTTCAGCTTCAGCTGTCCCTTATATTCCCTGCAATATTTATTTTAAATTCAAATTCGGGCTTTAACTAGGCTGTTCCATAACCCTTCTTTCTTTTTTTCTTTTCAAACTATTCCTTAGCGGATATGAAAGTGTGCTTAGAATCATTATCCTATCCACTTCTTGTTCAACTTCAGCATGGAGACAGATGGCCTATTATCTTCAAGTAGCTTTGGATATGAAGCAGAATTCATAGATGATCAAAGACCAGTCCCTGAGGCGGTGAAACAAGCCCAAACTACAGCATTTCCACCACCATGTGTCCCAACTGCCATGAAATTATCCTAAAAGGCTGCCTTTGGTTTGTGCCCAAGTATCAACTGCCATTATAGCTTGGATTGATCTATCCACAGGTTATTATTTCAAAGCTCTTTGGCTTTGTTTTAATTTCCTAACCATTTTATTTTTTCTAATATAATTTTTATAAATGCAGGTTAATTTTTTTATAGTCTTTTCCCAGTTGCAGAAACACGCACATTTGAGACCAACTGTGCAGGAATTAATGTACCTGCAGATCCTGTGATACATTTTTCATGTTCTTGGAGACTCCTTCTTGCATCAGAAAGTTTGCTCCTGGGCTGAAGTTGCTAAAGCAACTAATGCTGCACAAATTGGGACATTTGAAATCTATGCTACTTTTAGATGATATTCCTCAAAGTGGAATGCTTAATTTCTCCGGCTCCATACATACATAACCATTTTTTCTGAAGGCCTTGTATAAGTGTGCATATGTGTCAAGCAGTAAAGCTGGGCAGGGAGTGCAGGAGAGCTGAGAGAGTGAAGTGGTTACTTAAGTTGAGAACAACTTGAAACAATTTTGTATATATTCTTATATATTTTTGTACACCACCAAAATGGATTTTAAATTAAACACTTTAGGCCAACATGCACACTTTCAGCTTTAGCCTAAAGTGTTTACAAAAGTATAACATTAACTGTTTAAGAATCACAACCATTTTTATACATAGGCATAATCACTCATTTTCAGAAGCTCAAAAGTAATCGGACAACTGACTGGCAAACAGTTTCATATACACGTGAGCTCTGTTCCCTTAAAAACAAATTAAGCAGATAAAAGATCTGGAGCTGATTCTAAGTGTTGAATTTTCATATGGTAGCAGTTTGCTGGAACTTTCAATATGAAGTCCAATTGATGTAATTAAAGGTCATCATTAGCTTGAAAAACCTAAATAAACCCATCAGAGATATTGCAAACACATGATGTGGCCACAACAATGGCCAAATCAACAATCTGTTACATTCTTAGGAAAAAAGAAATGCAATGGTCATCTCAGCAGCACCAAGAGGTTTGAAAGACCAAGGGAGACAACTAAAGCAAATGAGAACAATTAAACCAGGTCACTTATTTTTCCTGATGACACAACTATTGATAGAACTAGCAGACTTTTGATAGAAATCTCTGATCAGATGGATAATGACCCAAAGCATACTGCAAAAGCAACCCAAGAGTTGCTCAAAGAAAAGAAACTAAATTGACTGACTTGGCCATTGAAGATCTGATAAATGTTCCACCCAATGCAGCATGCTTTTCAATTATAAAATACACAACTGAATGCAACAAAGACACACAAACAAGTAACAAATGAAGGTAGCTGCAGTAAAGGCCAAGCAGAACATACGTCTTTAAAATTGGGGTAGTATGTATAAAATTAAAGCCGAGAGTCATAACTTCAATGACATCTTTGGGGGTTCTTTTTTTGTCAAATCCACTGTGGTAGCGTACAGAAGCACAGCTACTAAAAATGTGTATTTGTGTAAATACTGTAGATACGATTATAGGCTTATTTTTTATATGTGCGTGTAGGGCTGTTCGATATAACGACATATCGGATGACGATATAAAAACATCTATCGTTTCATTTTACGCTATTGTTTGTTTTGTGGTGTCGCAAAATAAACTGTTTACGGCAATATTTTTTCATTGTTTTGATGGTCACTGTAGTGGCTATATTAATTTCTTGAAGTTCACTCTTTCTCTTATATTTAATATAACCACACTACGGATGGAAAAGCGCCTGTTTTTATGCCTTGTCGTTAGCAACAATGATGGTAAAACCATCGCTTGTCCGCTTGTTTATTTTCCACATAAACCTTTCACAATAAAGCTCAAGATGGATACACACATACACACACACACACACACACACACACACACAAACATATATACACTCATCCCCCCTCCCCCTCCAAACGCCTTCTACGCTTATTCCCCTCCGATAGATCAAGGAGACCAGCGCTTATGCTGCAGGGGTGGATGCACTGTCTACACTGGCTGTCTCTCACCCTTTACCCATCCCTGTTGCTTGTCATGTGTTTCTTTGGTGCATTAAGAGTTTTTTCATGTGATATGTGCAGAGGTGTTTTTTCTCAAACTGTTTTTTGCTCCAACAGGGAGATCAAACTGATCTCCCTGTTGGAGCTCAGTCTGGGGGGGAGTTATTTTTTTCTCCTTATCTTTCCTCATGTTGTGCATTTTCCATGTTATACCCCTCTGACCTGTCTTCCCCATGTGATGTTTGTGTAATGTATGTATGGTCGGAAGGGTAAGATGGCGCTGGCACGGCTGGCAGCCTTAACCCAATTTCCCTTGGGATGAATAAAGTATGATCAATCAATCAAGATCCTGTTGAGACTTTTCAAAATAAACTGAATCACGTGAAAGAGTATGCAGAGTGTTTACGGATGAGAAGCAAAAAAGAGCCGCCAGGTGCTAAAAAATAAACCTTAGACTCAAACGTTAGAACAGGCTTTTCCCCGCAGCACGCCGTGTAATAAATACTCACAAAGAAAACGGCGGCCGTTACAACTTATGTCTAAAAATGTATCGTTTCATGCATCGGTTAAAACACTCGACTCCAGCTACATGACGCGCAGCTGGAAAAACTTCACGCAAGTCGAACTGCCCGAGATTCACAGAATTTACAGAAAATGTTACATTTTTGTGATTTATATCGTTATCGGGACGATAGATGTTTTATATCGGGATATGAGATTTTGGTCATATCGCACAGCCCTATGTGCGTGCATGCTTTGCCCATTTGTAATTACACTGCAGAAAACTACTGCAGTGTGCCTTTGTCAGCCAAAAAGGCCTTTTTTATTACCTTGTTTACTTGACAACAGTGCACTATTACTTCAGTGTATTCAATGTTCTTCATCACTTAAAGGAACTAAGCCATAACTTGTGCTTTAGTTCATAACATGAGCACAAATTGCCAAACCAAATATGTCATAACTGACTTTCTCCCTCAGGAGTTGCAGTTAAAACAAAACAAAGTGCTGAGATTGAGGTTATTTCAACATCTGGCAGACGCCCCCACATGCAGAGACATCACCTAACTGTTAACAACACTTGGTAAACAAACTCCACTCTTAACATGATACAGATATTGTTACTCTGTGATTTTTCTTTGTGTTAACATATTGCAAGAATGAAACTGCTGAGCAAGTTAGCTTTTAGCAACCGTTACTCAAACCAGAGTCAAAAAAGGGCTGTTTTTATCTACATACCAATAGCCTACACATTTAATGTTTTATAGCACTATGCCCGTGTCAACCTGTGTGTCAGAGTGGATCATCTACACTCAATGACCAAGGTATACCATGGTAGTACCGGGTTAGGCCCGCTTTTGCCTGTAGAACTGCCTTAATTCAGGGTTTTAGAATGGTACCTGCTGTTGTAGCTGATTTCCTTCAAAGTTAGATGTGTTTTGCATTCGTAGATGTGCTTCTGCATATCTTTTAGAAAGTGGTTATTTGAGTTACTGTTGCCTTAATATCAACTTCTAGCAGTCTGGATATTCTCCTCTGACCTCTGGCATCAATAAGGCATTTTCACTCAGAGAACTGCTGCTCACTGGATATTTTCTCTCTTTCACCCTATTCTCTGCAAAATCCCAGTAGATCAGCAGTTTCTATGAAATACGCAGACCAGCCTGTTTCCTCCCCATTCTGATGCTCGGTTTCAACTTCAGCAACTTCAGTCTTTACCTAAATGCATAGAGTTTCTGCAATGTGTAATTAGGTGTATCTGACAAGGTGGCCAAAGAGCACGTGTGTTTTTGAACAACAGTGGAGGTCTGCAGGACAAAGTAAGGGGATTTGGAGATGTGAGACAATCTGTCATTACCACCTGTCACTTTTAGTGCAAATTATTATTCAATAATAAATCCACAGAACACTTATGTATTTTCTTATTTAAGTGTGACCTCTTACCTGCAACAGTAAAGCCCCAAATTCATCTGTGATGTCCTCCATACCCGTATTATAGCTTAGTTCTAAATTCTTGACACTGTGACAAAAATACAGGACACGGAATCTTAAAAAAATAACAAATACTGAAAAAAGAATGCAGAACAATGAGAAGAGGATGAAAGAAACAAAACAAAACACTGTATTGTGTTTCAACGTCCAATGACACACCGGCTTGCTCAATCTTCGCTTTCCATCATCACTTCTGTTGTGGCAGCTACGCATATCAAAGACTACACAACTGTATGAATTTTTATTTGTTCATATTTCATGTTTGTTTACTAAAAACAAACCAGTAAGCGGAGCAAGGAAACTCTCATGGCTCAATGAAGAAAACTTCACAAGCTGATTTTATACATTTGGTCACTTCTCTTTACTGGTTGGCTAGGAGACGAGGAGTAAGCAAAAAAAGAAACAAACACAAAAAAACCCCCACTTCCATTTATTAAGGATAACAACCAAAGAAAGACTAAAGAAAGTAGAAATAGGGGATTGAGAAGAAATGAGCTAACTAAACAGAGCTGTGAGAGGATAAACAGACCAGCAGACCTATCAGACTTGGGGACACACATACACATGTGCGCTTCTTAGAGAGGAAAACACATGTAAACAGCAATTGAATTCACACACAGAAGAACTAGCTGCCCACAAACACATTCACAGAGATACACACTTTTCAAAGCACTAACACACAAACATAACTACACATATATAAATATATATATATGTATGTAAACAAACACTAATCTACCCAGCATAATCCCATGGTAACATTTTTTTAGGGAGGATTTCAACCAACACAATATGAGATCAATTGAGTGCTAAGCTGTATGGAGGAAAAACATACGGGGGCTGATAGGGCGACTCTTCAAAGCCCAAACATCACAATGCCCAGTAATCTGCATATGTTATTACTTCATCTACATTTATAATTCATTAAATGAAAATCAGTGAATCTGAAAACAAAAGAATACGTATAAAACTATCATAAAAAAGTATTTTATATAACCCATGCCTATTCTAAGTGGTGAAAAGAACAAAAGGTCAAGTAAGAGTTATAGTGGGTAAAGAAAGATGGAAAAGCCTTGGGAAACAAACAGAAAAAGTCATCACCAGCAACTCTTACAGAGAGCCAAAAACTGATTGCCAGGCTCCTATCTCTTGCAGGCAAACAGACGGACAAACAGTGTGTGCCGGTTCAAAGGCAGATTACATATTAGCTGGGGGAGAAAAAAAAGAGCCCACGGAAAGGAAGGACAAAAGTATAGCTCCTCTTAAAGCCTGGCAGTGAGCAACAGAGTAAAAATGTGGCAACATGTGAATATGAGATGAATGGGTTTCTGTAGCTTAGCAATGTGAAGTGATTGGGGCGCTAGTGTGTGATTGGAGCAACACTTATTATGCTGTTAAAAATTCTACTAAAAGGACAAAAAGAAACAGAAAGGTCAAGAGGAAGGCAGCGTCAAAAGATAATGTTCTAGGACAGTGCTCGTCTTAACAATCATCACTATTAGCATTTTTAAATTAAAAACTGTGCTGTTTACTAAATTACTAACATTATGGACATTCTGTTGGCATTTTGGGAGTCAGGCTGGAAACTGAATGAATCTCTGGATCGTGTTATTGTCTGCGTGTCTGGCTCTGCAGCAGCAAACTGGGCATGAGGCGCTGAGCAGCCTGTTTAGCTCATTTCAGAGTAGTGCATATCAGCTTGTTGGGAAATGTTTTTACACTTTGAAAAAGATCACAACAAAAGTGAAGTATTTCATATTTTAAGACAGCCAAATCTCACTTTGCATTTTCTGTGTAGGTGTAATGCTATTCCAATGATATTTTTCAGCAGCTATTTCTTCGGGGGACGTTGAGTGAGCATGGATGGTCTTTTCAGGCAAAGAGATTGTTTCATATCCATACACCCACACGCATTCACTACAGGGATTTGCCACAAGAAAACCGACAGTAAAACACTACTGACCTCTGAGCACCTGATCTTAAGTACCTGAAGACTGAATGCCTTACTTAAGGGCACAAAACTGAGGGAGACGTGAGCCTTGCTTATTTCTTTTACCCGGTGCTACATCTGCAGCCAGTTAATGTCATAAAAACTTTAGTGAAATGAAATAAAAAAACAATTGTTTCTGAAAGTGATATGTAGATGAAATGTGACTTTAATAAAGCAATATGGACTAAAGCATATGCATTATGCTCATATGAACATTTTTAGCACAGGGGTACCTATCAAGCCCAATTATCGCCAAATAATCACCAAATAATACTATAGTTTGCTAATCTGATCAGTGCAAACAACAGATTAGGATTTTATGTCCGTAATACTGCCCAATACATCTGCCCAACATGGACTTTGACCTTGGCATTAGGGATATTTGGATAAGCTTTTGCCACCTGCATCCAGGACTTTATGCTGTCTTATAGGACTGGAGTTTAACAGTCATTTTGATAAATTCAGAAGAAAGTGTTTTCCAAAATGTCAAAGAATTCCTTTAAAATATAAACCATAAATATCAGAAGTAAGTCAGAACCATATATGAGCTGTGTGGCATTTACCTGTAGCTGTCGCTTCTGAATCTCCTCCACCATGATTGCAAGACATTTGGTGTAGTCCGTAAGATCCTGGTCAGCTGTTTCTATCAGCTTGCACCCCTACACACGCACAAATATCAATATATTAAAAACAAATCACAAAAAAACAAGCAGGCAACAAAACACAATCCAACAGATGTACATAAACATAGATAGTGTAACAAATACCTACGATAAGGGATAGGGGGATAACAGAAAAACTGAAAGCGATAGGGAGATGGAGAGAGGTATAAATCAGTGTTTTACTGTTGTCTGGCTGTCTTTGGCTTGTGTTGCTGAATAATGTAGAGGTTCCAGTCAGTGGCCCTAAACTACAACAACCATGCTCCGGCTTACTTTCCTTCTGTCTCTTTCTCTCTCTCCACAGTGTCACTTTCCTCCAAAACACAGCGACTTTGCTACTTCACTGACACACACACACACACACACACGCGCGCGCACGCACACACACACACACACACACACACACACACACACACACACACACACACACGCACGCAGTCATATCAAACTTGTTCGCTGTGCTCTGTTTGATCCCATCCATCCTCCCTCTCCTCCCCTCCTCTTCCACCAACCCTCCACCCCCCATCTCTCCCTCCCTCCCTTGCTGATGCTTTTCTGTTTTCTCCCTCCCATTTATGCAGAATTATTCACCGTTTGCCAGAAATCTCTGAAGGAACTGCTCGCATTTTCCCATATTTCTGCTTCAAAGGCATTACCATAACAGACTGTTTTTCTCTCACCCCCCTCAAAAAAAGGCATTTCTCTCTTTTTTTTCCAGACAACCTGTGTGATTTTTGTGAAAAGGGTCTAATATTACAGATAGCTACAGAGAGAGCCGGGGGAATCGTGAGAAGAGAAAAAAGGAGAGAGAAACAGCTGAAGACATCAAATAATCTGTGATGGGTGCCTAATCATGTGTGTGTTGTGTGTACGTGTGATGATACCGAATCTGCATTTCAAACTGTAAACAGTGTGCATCAGTAGCATCTGATCAAAGTGACACAGCACAAAGATCGCACAGGCACTGTATTTTGTTTTCTCTAAGGTGTGGGTGTGTGTATGCATGTCTGACTTGCCCTGTATTAATTATTTATTGAACAGCGCTTGTGGGTTGACATTTTGCTTGCTATAAACAATGGAAAGTCCCCTTCATGAAATCATTTGCATTTTATTTTTATGACCTTGAATAGTTGAATCTAAATATGCCTACATGTACAAATTTCTTGCACAGTGAGGTACACAGGGAGTAAAGGCTACAACGAAGAATGTCAAAGGGGGACTCTGGAGAAGCACTTTCTTGTACCTGGACCGTGTTATGTTAAATCTGCAAACTTAGTCACCTACAAAAAATGCAGATTGCTTTGTCCATTTCCAATATCCTCATCCAAAGTTTAATCTTTATGTGTAGCTAACCCTTTTCAAATGTTATTTTTGTGCATTTATCCCGTTTCTAGTAGTTTTGTATGGATTTTTTTATCATTAGTATTATAATATTTCATGATCACTGATTAATGAAGACTTTTTAAAATATAGTGTTGATTTTTAGCAATGATTAATTTGAAAAAGTGAAGAAGATGCTCCTCCATCTAAGAATCCATCCTCTTAACTGTTAAGGCCTCAGTTAGGACTGATTGGCTGCCTTGCAATCACCGGTTACTTGAGTGTTCCCCTGAATGGTTGTGAGTGGTTGCTGGTAGTTGCAGTGAAATCACTTGATAAGCCCCACACATCCAGGCTCAAAGGCCAGTCAGTGACCCTGGTAACCACCGGTTGCTAGGGAAAAATGTATATTACCTGACTGGATGGTGAGTAAGTTGTTTGCTGTCACTACGTGGAATTAATAACAAAGAGGTGTACGGTGCTGCACTAAAAACCTGCACAGCTGTAGCCTGTTGGAAAGATGCCAATGTGTCTGCAAACATTTGGCAACTATTTGCTAGGTGGTTGTGAAACAGTGAAGACTGAAAACTGGTAGTTTAGATTGTTTTTCTTACTGCTGAAACCAACATGTTTCAAAAGATCTAATATTTACTCTGAAGGCAAACGGGCTCTATTTCACGTTTGTGTTGCATTTCTTCGAGTTTCACTATTGCTCAGTGCTAAGTTTTTAAGTATTTGCAGACAAGTTGGCATTTTCCATGCAGACTACGGCTAACCGTGGCATTGTGCTAGCGACCCAAACAAATACAAGCACCCTATTTGCAACTGATTTCAACTAGCAACAGTCGACAATCTCCAAGAGTCACTTTCCAAGCATTCAGGGAATACACATTTTTCCCATGAGACAGGACATTGCTGAAATCATTCTCCAAGCTTGTGTGACCCAAACGTTATCAAATTCAGGGTCGTGAAGGGACTGGAGACTATCGCTACTGAGACTGGGCAAGAGGTGTGGAACACCTACTGGTTAATTTTGAAAACATTTGTGTGGGATGTGATGTATGACTCCGAAAATATTTAGTAAATGCGAGTGTGTGAGATTCAACCCAAAGATAAATTTGTATTTATAAATGCTAAGAGGCAAGTGCTCATAGAAATGATTACATTTTCCTTCAAATATAGGTCTCCTGTGTCGTGCACACCTATATCATCACAGAGAGTAGACTTTCAGCTATGCACTAAGCCAGGAGGTTGATCCTCTCTTTAGCCCAGGGGGCACAAGCAGAATTCTAAATTTTGACTTGCCAGGTGACAGGATGGTTTTCCACTTTGCCTCAGTTTATCTGATGCAGGCACGAACTGTGTTCAGTGAAAATTGGCTTTGAAGCTGTTCCTGAACCCTATCGGATATTTTCACTACAGAATCACGTCTGTCACATCTAATGCCAGGCCCAAAAGCGCAGCCATTCAGTGACCTCGTCTCCTGCATGATCTCAAGATTCTCTGAATAGATTACTATCATGTAGTTAAGCTGAGCATCTTCACAGCCTATGTAATTTTGCATTACTCTTGAAAAATGATTTTGTTTCTCTTTTTCTTACTCTTAAGAACATTAGTTTTTTTCACAGAGTGATAAATTTCTTTCTATCTTCACTTCTACAAGCCTCTTTTCAGAAGTGACAGATACAATGCTTAAAATACAGAATAAACTGCTGAATGTCTCCCTGTGTGTTAATGGCTGGGTGTGGTGATTTGAGTGGTCAGTAAGAAGAAAAATGCATTTAACATTTACCATATACAAATTACCGTACTAGGCTTTTTAGACAAACCAGCTGCTCCAGATGTTGAACTAGGCTACCCTTTGTTTCTTGGACTAATCCATTATAATTTCTAAGCAACTACCTTTTTTTCTTTGTACATCCAGATGCTACAACATGTGTTATGGACTCTCCCTACAATCCTACTTCTTCTGTATGAACACCTGTAGGTATAAGAGTGCGTGCAAGTTTTGTTCCACTTACCTTGTCTGCATAGAAAGCTTTGACCTCTGCTGTAATGGAATCAAAATCCCCACTGATATAGTCGGGGAGAAAGCTGGATATAAGGACAGAAAGATGGGGGTTAGTGAAAAAGACAGCGGGTTAAGATTGCAAGAATGACAGAGCCAAGAAGTGAGAGTTAGAGATGGAAAAGAGAAAGGACACTGGGGCATGTGTCAGCTCTTTGATCTGTGCAGCGAGGGAGAAGAGTGACGCCGCCGGGACAGACGAAGAGACATGGAAACTGACAGGGTGAATCTCTGTGGCACCGAGCCTGGCCCTGTCACACACACACACGGCTGACAGAAGATATACATAGATTGATGGGAAAATACACCCAAACAAACGTGGCAGAATACAGAAGCAAAAGTTCATGTTGATACTGTGATAGTTAGGTGCATAAATGCAAACGCATCAACAACAGATTGGATGCAAATTACTCATTAGTCACATCTAATAAACAGATCACTGAGTTGGTGTCCTTCTCACACGCGCAAGCAAACAGAGCATCATGTACATGGTGTTCAGATCTTGAAATATTCCAGCACACGGGATGAGTAGATTCTCCATTAGAACTGTGCATCAGTTTTAATAAACAGAGGTCACAGTGTGATTGGATGTTTTGACGCATAGGATCAAGTAAAGACTATGTTGCTCTGAACTGACATCAGTTATGTTTTAGAAAGGTATGTGGACTAATGATAGGAATCTGACAGAGCACACAAATAAATTGCACGATAGTTGCTTTCAACTAAACTTCCCTTGTAAATCATTTAAGTCTAGTTGAGTTTCTATCTTTAAAGGAAAGTATCAACAAAAAAAGCACTGAATGAATGAATTGAACCATAAGTTAAGCTTCGTTTTAAAATTTTTCAATTAAGCTTGAAGAATAATCACCTCGACTTCCAACTTGTATTAATGCTGACAGCTTATTATTATGCATTTATTATGCATGAAACAAATGTAAAAAGAATGAAAATAAACCTGAGCTACTTTTGCCAATTTTATTCTTGAAAGTTTATGGTTTGGTTAAAGAAGAGCACTTTCTATATAGCCGCTTATAAATGTGGATACATGTCACAAATGCACAAACAGGCACAATAACTCTGAACTAACAGGATGCAGAAATAGCATGTTGATGCATGCAATTAAAATGATTAGTGCAAATAAAACTGGTCAGGAGTTTTGGGGAAATACGAGCGTGCTCAAAGTAAACTTTTATATGTATTTCATTCATACGAATTGAACTGTTTTCTGAGGCAACCTGCAATCCCCAGAGCGTAGGAATTAACAACCAGCCACTGCTGAATAGAAGATTCCTGCCGGAGAGTAACAGATAGCTCTCTGTTTATTCATTTGTGTGTATGTGTGTGTTTATGTGTATCGGGCAAAACCACGCAGGGATGCAGTGGCTGCTATCTAGAGGCATTAACAGGTCTGACATTACGATTTCATGGTTGGTTGGGTAGCGTGTTTGTGTTTGTTTGTGTGCATGTGCTCCTCTAGCAAGAGGCGAGAGCGATGTTCCAGTTGGTTGAAGAAAGAGATACATAAGGATTATTCCCTCCCTCCTCAGGATTCCCATTTACACCAACAAGATACAGGAAGACAAACACAGGAAATGTTTGCAATCTGCTGCCACATACATGCGCGCACACACACACACACACACACACACACACACACACACACACACACACACACACACAGGTTTAAAGACAAACAAGCACAATTCCAACTGAATAAGACAAAAAAAAATATGATCAAGGAACAAATTTTTCATCTTGAGATAAACACACAAAATATGCATAAATAGCAGCAAATATGCAGGTACACACAACCAAAGGCTATTTCGCCTCCTTCTTATTATACAGAACGCCACAATTGCATCTTCATTCAGAAATAACCTTCATGTGACAGATGGAATGAGCTGTGACACTGGGTCTGATCAGAGCTTTACACAAACGCATACACACACACATGCACACACAACCACACGCACATTCCTTTGTGACCTGTGTGCATGACACCATCGGCGGAGAGTAATTGACCAGCCAAGATTCTAAATTCTGTATTTGTGTCTGTGCACATGAGGGTAAATGCTGTTTGCGTGTTTGTGTGTCTGCATGTTGTGCGCCTGACAGTCTTCACTTCCACATTAATGTTAACTGACACTTTAATTTGGATGGGAAATAGAGCATTTTACCACCAGTTTGTCTGAGCACCGAGTGGCAGGACTGGCTGTGTGACCTTTGCCTGTGTTTGTGTGTATCTCTTTGTCTGTCAGGCAGCTTGTGCGTCCCTCTCTCTCTGCATCGTCTGCCTGTTTTTTTTTTATCATGAACAAGTTCTCACATAATGCTCTTCTCTTCACGGTCTCTTCAAATCATCTCACACTTTTGCACTGCAGTTCTAACTTTTCCGCATAATTAAAGCGACTCTTCAATCTAAACACTGTCCTTAGAATCAACATCTAAGGACAGAAGAAACACCTTCTTTTTGGATAGATGTGTTATATTTTCCACCTTTCTTTTTCTGTCTTTGTTTTCTTCAAATTGGGTCTCACTGCTTCCATATGACCAATTAATTACAACCAAATGTTGTATATGTTATTTTATTTTCTTGTAGCTTTCACCCTCTCGTGAATCACAACATGATAAACACTCTTCTCCCTTTTTCAGGTCCTTTTCATCACTTGAGGAGATGTGGCTCTGATTACTCCTCTCATCTATCGCATCTCCCAATCAGAGTAGAAGAGATGATGAAGAGGTGGAGGAATTGCTTTGGATGACATCATTACATGCCGTATACATAAACAACCAAAACGGTATGACATGCATAGCACTAGATAGACTCACAATAGCTGATGTGATCAGTACACTCTCTTACACACACACACTTGCATACAAATGTGGACACATGACAAAAAACATTTGACAACAAATCACATGACATTTTTTGGTCAAGTGTTAAAATGGAACCTCAAAAATGACTCTTTGCTTAGAAGATAGGAGGGACAGATAGTGGACGATATAGGCACGGTGCTTTTAAATATGACAACAGGTTTTTTGTATTGTTTTAATTACCTTAACCAGACTGCTAAAAGGCTATTTTTACTATGATATGATATAATATCTTATAATATTTGTTAAGATGCACTGCCTTGTGGCGACAGAAAAGCAACAACCTAGGAAAGGCAAGGTATACAGAAGAGCATCTCTGAACACATGTTAAACCTTGAAGTAGATGGGTGATAGCAGCAGAAGACCACACCAGGTGCCACGCCTGTCAGCTAAAAGCTAGCAGGAGGGGCACCTTACAGTTTGCATGAGCTCAAAATTGGAAACTGGAAAATAGAAGATCATAAAAATGTTGCCTGATCTGATGAGACTGTCTCTGTTGCAACATTTGGATTGCTGGGTCAGAATTTGATGTGAACAACATAAAGCATGGATCCATCCTGCCTTGTACCAAAGGCTCAGGGTGCTGGTGGTATAATGGCATGGTGGAAAATTTTCTTGGCACAGTTGGGCCTCCTAATATCAACTGAATATAGCTGAGCATCTTTTAAATACCACAACCTACCTATAAATACATTATACTACCTACAATAGTACTGATGCTGACTACGTTCATCCCTTTATGACCACATATTTGATTGGCTGCTTCCGGCAGGATAATGCACCATGTCACAAAGTTTAAATCATCATGAACTAGTTTTTTGTGTATATACCTAAGTGCATAAGCAAAGATGGGTTAATGTGAAGATATAAATTATTAGTTAGTAAAGACCAGTTGCATAATTCATCTTTATGTGGTCGATAACTATCTGGTTTCATAATGGGTAGTTATGCAAGCACAGGCCTTAAAAAAACCAATCAGTGTTAATAGAGTTCTTATTATCCCACTGCAGCAAAGATTCTAATTATCAAAACCTCAAAGCACGCGAGTGTGATCTTACTTGCATGTTGGTATACGTGTGTGTCTAACACATCTACGCATGTCTATGTCGACACACCGCAAACCCTCCTGTCTCGACGTGGCATGATGCTGAAAGCATACATGTGTACATCTGAAAAATTAGATTTCTTTATGTGATTCAATTGTGTCTGATCCCAAAGTTAATAAGTTAAATATCTGCAGGCTTCTAATAACCACATACCTGTCATACCCAAACCACATCTTCTAGGTTTATTAACTCTCTGTATTACTCTTAGGGCTACTAGCTGTAGTATTAAAAAAGGACAGTTGTAATTTTAATTATCCTTAATTGCTACAATTCTAATACAATAAACTTAACAAAATGTAGCACACCGCATTATGTAGAAACAGAAGGGGAAAGCTCTCATATTAAAAGGCAAAGCCCAGTTCCCTGTGCTCATCAACTCGACTCAGCATGTCAATTTCCAACACAGAGCAATAAACACTGGGGAGGATTTTCAATCAGTCTGTAATAGACAAACTCCATCAGGAGTGTAGCAGAATCGCAGGTGAAGACAGGGCCAGTTTTGCGTTACGAGTTATACGTAGTCCTGCTAAATAAATTGCTGGTATTTGACCCTGATTTGGTCAAAGAATACCTGAAACTCAACTAAACAGTTTCCAAATGTATGAATACAACCTACATTAAAAAAAACAGTAAAGGGACTATATAATATCAACATATTTGTCTTTTAAATCCTTTCTGATCACATCTGTATTAGAATTCAACCAACATGTGGTTTTGTCTACATCACACATGCAGGTACTTTCCTGTCAGGCACACATAAAGAATAAAAATCGTGAGGCGTCAGTGGAATGTAGAATATATGAAAATGAGAGAAATAAAATGAAAGGCTGTCAAAGATATCTATCCAACACTCAGGCTTATAAAAAAGTACTTCTGCTTTTGACAACTTCATTTGCTGAGGCGGACAGCATTATCTTCAACAAACCAAAATGAATAGACCTTGATATGGTGATATAACTACGCTATAAAATTCACTTTTACATACAGACTAGTCAAACAGAGACACAATAACACAAGCATATGTTCTCATATTTTATTAACATCAC